GCTGGAATCGAGCATCTGGCTGTTGCTGTAGTGTGATGCATCGGCTGGTGGTCGCAATGGGCGCGGGGATTCGCTCTCCAACATCGTATACTAGTTGATTTAGGGATCGATGCGGCATGACAAATTTTTTGCTTGCACTGCCATGGTCCACCTTCGCCAAGATACGCCTGTCACTGTCTGCAATTGCAACCCCTGTCTGTCATGTTAGCTAGTCGATGGGAGCTATTGGCCACGCCTGTGCAACAGCACTAGAGGTTACATACTTGATTGAACCTACTATAGCTAGTATTAGTATATCAGTACCAAGTTTGGATGCCTGCCTTGCTAGTTTAGGAGTAGCAGTTGTTTAGTGGGGATGAGGGTTCAGGCATGTTGTTTCTGTTTATCATGAACCTCAAAGACCTTAGTTCTTGCAGTTCTGATTTCATTAATGGGTTTGGGGAAAATGTTCTTTTCCAGAGAAAGAGAAGGCCAGGGCATTTCTGTTTGCTGCATTGACTTTGCTCTTTTTCGTTTTGTGCAACGCTTACCGTTGGATTTAACTGGGTCTGTTTCTTTTTCTCCACAGTGATACCCTTCTGAGTGAGATCAAGGCCCTGGTTGCTCGGAATCCGGATAGGTTGACTGTGAGTGGCTTAACTGTCATTGTTCAGCTGTTATTGGCCGGTTTGGTTCGGTATTAAGTGGCATTTTTACGCCGTCTTTTATTAACTGTTGCAGATGGATACATTAAGAGCTGGTAACAAAGGGTATTCTGCGGAGATGTTCGTTGTTACTTTTAATCATGTGAAGAAAACCGCACATGATGGCTCGAAGATTAAAATCCTTCTGGTTAGTTCCCAACAGATATCTCTCAGCATTTCCCCCCAAACATGGGCTTCATTCTGGCCTCTTGTATCATCCAACGTCACGAGATCAAGTCTGCTCTGTCCATTCGTCTTGTTTGTTCTCAACTCCCTCACCTCGGTGGAGTAGTGGGCCTACAACATAAAGAAAACATAATTTTGTCTTCATACGTTTTGGCATGCTGTTCCATAAATTAAGTTATTGATGCCTTGTGGCTTTGACAGAAGGTTCATTGTCTTCCAGAGCTTTGGGCAGCATGGCAGAGAACTTATCACCTCTGAACTTGCATTAAGTCTGCTCTACATTTTGACGGAGAAGCGCAAAATTGCGGGTGTGGATCTATCATCCTTTGAGAAAATTCTGGAGCATCTTGTTATCAAAGTTAGTCCTTCTGCAACTTATTTTATATCTTCAGTCCCTAGAATGCATAATTAATAAGAAAATTATAGGAAGCAATTGTGCTTTCTGTTCTGCTGCGCTGCACTGAAGCAGTATAGTTTTGGCTTTTGAGGGTGGTCTGGTCTTTGAAAAAGGAATTTTGATATTGAGGTATTTGGTTCATTTCTTTTCGGCATTGTTCTTATGCATGCTTTCTGAAATCAAACTTTACTTTGATCTGCTCGCATTTTTCAAATGTTAGTGCGCTAGTTATCTTTTACGTACCTTCACTTATTCCTGCACTATGGTAACTTATTAAGCATTATTATTCACTCAAAGTTATACCAATAACAAAATTCACAGTAGTTTCTAATATGTTTGTGAAGTACTCCCTCCGTCCCATAATATAAGAGCGTTTTTTACACTAGTGTAGTGTCAAAAACACTCTTATATTATGGGACAGAGGGAGTATGTTTCTCCCAAGTGTTTTTTGTACAAAATACGAAATCAAAATCATGTATTTTTAGCACACATAATCATCATTACTGCATATCCTTTTACCCTAGTTTAGAGAAAAACAAGTGTGTGCTTACGTGGTATTCTTTACCTTTATTCATATTTGTCTGCCTTCTCCCCTCATCCACCTCTTTCTCGTGTTATTACTTATGTTCGTATTAGTAATGGGCCATTTCTCGAACTCAGGAGGTATAGTGATTTCTAAAGTTGCCTTTAAACTTTTTAGGTGGTGCCAATGGAAAATTTTAATGGCCGCAAGCGCGTTGAAGCAGGGGAGATTTGTGATAGGAGAAATGGTGATTGTCTTTTTCTTAAAAATCAATCACATGAAGCAGCTCATGCGCCAATTATATTATCTCTTCTTTTCTTACGCAGGAAGAGGGGTTGATCTTAACAGAAATTGGAGTGTTGATTGGGGAAAGAAGGAAAAGGTTTGTGTCAAAGCGGTTTATCTGTTATCATTGTGCACCAGGAAAACCTGACTCCTGAGTTCAAAAATATGTTGATTCTATAAAATACATCTTAGATGCAAGCTTGAATGACTGAAGTCTTTTATGTTAATTTCCACACTTTATGGTTTCCTTTTGTGTGGTATTACTTAGCGAACCTGTGTAATTTACCCTTAGAAGAGCTTGTTTGATTGACATTCAGGAACACTAAAGTTGAATTGAAAGTCAGATTTTTTTGCAGATCTGGAGCGGATAGACTAAGTATAGCTATGGTGCTTTATTGATACCCTGTATATTCTTTCTTATTGTCACGTTGGATAATCAGACTTTGCTAATCTTGTGTACACTTTGAGCAAGTGCACCTTTATCTTTTTATCATGCATGTTCTTTGTTGGTTGATTGGTTGATTGATCAGCAGAGTTACTTATGTGCACAGCATCAATCTTATGCACTATATTTATACATTTGTCCTGTATTGCAGGATTATAACCCATTTGAGGAGCATCCCGGTACTGCTCCTTTCAGCGAACCTGAGGCCCAGATCATGCAAGAACTATCCAAGTCATTTAAACCACATATCTGGGTGAATGTGCATTCTGGAATGGAGGTAATGCAGCTCTTGCGTTCTGCAGCTATCATATAAAGTTTGATCAATTGTTCATCAAGCGGAGGGAGGGGCCTAACATATAAGTGTCTTTAGTAGCAATCTCATGTGTAGTTCCACACAGTGGTATAAACCTGGAGAAATAAGTTTTGGTCAATGCCTATTGCTTTTACACATTCTCTCATTCTTCTGTTCAACTACAGGCATTATTTATGCCATATGACCACAAGAATACTACACCAGATGGAGCTCCTTCTCACTTGATGAGGTCAGTTTTAGAGAATGTGAACCATCGCAATTTCCAAGACAGCTGCCTAGTTGGATCAGGTGGTGGAGCTGTAGGGTATGTAACATCTCACAAGTTGCTCAAGTTATGTGAATCCAAGAGGGTTATTCTAGCCTTCAACGAAGGAAATGTACTAATGCTCTTTTTTATTCCATCACTTGCTAGGTACCTTGCACATGGGACTACAACTGATTATCTGTATGACATTGCGAAGGTGCCAATGCCTTTCACATTTGAGGTAAGTTAATCTGTTGTCTCTGTTGCAACTATTATGAACCTGTATTGACATGACATGACTCATCACTTTGCTGGTATTCAGATATATGGAGATGAGAAGGCATCCACCGAGGATTGCTTCAAAATGTTCAACCCTGTCGACAAGATAACATTTGATGTACGCAAATCTGGGCTCTGCGCATCTAGTCATGTACATAGTTTTTTTTGGCCATATGTCTGACAGCACAGTTTTCCTTTCCAGAGAGTCATTAACAAGTGGTGCATGGCATTTCTCATACTTTTCGAGGAAGGGCTGCGAACCCTACCTGATGGCCAGGTAGTATCCCAAGGAGCACTGGATAACTGGGTCCCTATGGGAGGAGAGATTTTGGAGAGAAATATGGACCAAAAGAGCGGCGGTGAAAATGGGAAGCTTGAAGGCCTTGACCTCGGAATGCAGGAGCTAAAAACCTACTTCAGGTTATTTATGCTATCGACATTCCTGCTGATGTTCATGTTCTGCTCGAGGATATCGAAAAACAGGAGCAGAGACTCAGGTAACATTTGAATCCCACGGGAGAATCGATTGGAGCTAGGCTATTCAGCTCAGTATGGGTTTGCAATGGTGCTCACGGTTTATTGCCGCAGATGAACAAAGTATAGCATGAATCATTCCAACAAAAGTCCATTTTCTGGGGCAACTTTGGAGGCGCGGCGACAGGGGATGACAAGAATGGTAGAATCAGAATGGTGTTTTGCAGCCTCTGCTTAGATGCTAGATGTATGTCAAGAGTGATCTGTTTATGTCTTCGACGAGTCATAAATGTAAGTTGTAGAGCTGTCGATATCTGTTTGTCGTGATGAATAGGTAGAATCAGAATGAATATGCGCGCCTTTTGAAGGTTGCTGGTTTTTTGACACGATTGAATGTAACGTTCAGTCGTCAACTTATTGTGATACGACTGAGTGTAGCATTTCACTGTGGACTTACTTTGACATGATTGAATGTAATATTCCATTACCAACATATTATGAGTTTTTTCACTGAAATGTTGAACTGCTGTCTAATCTTATTTATTGTGAGTTTTGTTGAATTTTTGCTAATATGCACTAAACTATTTAGACTGATCATATGAGAATAGTTTTGTTATGAAATGCCATTTTTATGGTTTTAGTTAATATGTACTGCATTTGAGATCACTCAAAATTTCTTCATTATATTGACCGCGTCTCATCCAAAGCGTGACATGTCATTCCTCAGCAGAGGGTGTAAGTTATTGACTAATACAGCACATCAAAGTATAGGAGAAGAAGTCTGAACTCATATACCGCAGACATACAAAAGTCTGAACTTCACATTTCAGCCCGATAAGGGCACATGTGGCATACATATTTTCCATCGCCAAAATGATGGCGAAGCGGAAGTAACCATACTATCTTTGAAAGAGCTGCACACTTGAAACTGATTTGAGTTGGGCAGAGGTTACAGATACTTGATGAGGAGCCAAACAATAACCACAAGCATCACTATACCGACGGTGGACAGCAGCAGGGACATGCAGGAGCAGCCGCCCTTGGCGCGCTTGTTCAGAACCGCAAGCCTCTTTTGCACACGCTGCATGAGAAAGGTATTTGCGTCAAAATTCAATTCGTGCAAAGCTTGAGAACTATTGGTATCAAAGAGCAAAGAAACTTTCTTTAAGGTCTAAGGATAAGGAACGGAAACAAGGGTTTGAAATAAAACCTGGAGACGCGAGTTCGTACCATCCACATGGTCGTCTAGGTCATCCTGCAATCATGAAGAGAGGGCAGTGAACACAGTCTAGAGAGCAAAGAAACAAGTGGCTTTGCAGTAAGAAACTAACAATCAGTCTTGCATGCAGGTCAAGCTCCTCATTGACTGCTAGCGCAATGTGTTTTGTGCTCAGCACTGTCTGTTCCAGCTTCTCAAGACCCTCATCTTGTTCTGCAAATTGCAAATTGTCGTAGCAGACATTATCAATGAATTAGGCAACTGTCAATTGTTCATTTCTCTTGTGAATTGCTAGTATTTGTAACCAACTGTAGATATACAAGCAAATTGCAAGCTTAGATAAACAACCGCGTGGAACATGGAATGCGTTTTTCGTCACAAATAGCTCTTCATATATTTTGAGTAGAAATGCAACGATTTAAGAAGTTCGCCATTTTCTTTCGAAACAAAGCAACTGAATGAATCCTAATAGAGAAACCGGAATATATGCAAGGGCCACTGGTAACTTCTGAATTTGTATGTTTGACACCAGAAACTCGAGCCAATGAAATGGAGAGGAGAGGAATGGATTTGGCATGTGCACTGTGAGGCAAAGGAGGAACAGCAATGTCTTGTTTTGACTGTTTGACCAGTCATAAAGACAACACTTCAAACTAAACATCACCCTAAACACCACTCCAAATGTCACGACCACATTGATGTATCTGCCCGAGGGTGGTGGAAATGGAGGGCGACAGGCCAGCCATCACATCCAGTAACCAACCACTCTGACATCGCCGCAACACTTCATTGTCACGGCAGCATGAATAGTAAGTCATACATACATCAGTACCTTTCATGATTTGCCTCTGAAGGCCAACAATCCCTTGGTTATCCAACCCGGCTACTCTGCTCATGTCATCAGCAGCTTTCTTGCTCTGACCAAGCAAATCCTCCCTGAATTGTGAGAAATCACATGTGTAATACATATAAGAAATTTAATCAATATGCACCTGAAAAGATTTTAACAAAGATAAAGCATTGACGAGCCTTCTTTAAAAAGATTAATCACGTCGGTAGCATTGGTTACAAAATGCGGAACACACCTGTTGGCAAAGGTCGACATGTTGAAACTTTCTGCCATCTGTTTTGCTCTAGATTTCAAATTTGAAAGCGTGTCTCGGCGCTTATGCAGCTCCTTGTCCGTGCTGCACAACATCGAAGATCACTTAAGAGTGGATTTCCTTTTTATAACAGATGTACATTTCGAAATGTATCAAGAGAAGTTATATTGAGCATATGTATGAAAGATATCTCGATTTAATGCAGAGCTGATTGTGATAACTGATAAATTTGTACTAGTGTCTGCACAAGAGTGAACAGAATACACCATATACCATCCATAACCATCGCAGAGAACATACATATTAACAGGGTAAACTACTCCAAACGTTATCTCCTACGAAATGAATCACCACACATGTACGGATGTACTTAGTACTACCTCGAATAAGAAATAAGATGATCTCATTTCCCACCACACATGTGCAGCTATAATCTATTTCGGAGCTGGAATCACAATCGGTGAAAAGCAGCTGAATTATGATTCCAGGGATAGGCTGAACATGGTATCGACGACATCACTCAGGCCCTAAATCATCGTACCATCATTTCTAGCTCCTGCATCCTGAATTCTCAGACAAAATGTTGTATGAATCTGCAGGAGGTGACTATCTAGGAACAAAGGACAACGCAAATCGACCTCCATCCAATTATCCCTCTTCCACGCATTTCGGAGCTGGCAAGCAGGAAAAAAGAAAGACGCGCTAGGGTGAGCGAGCGAGGGAGCGAAACGTACATGGATTTGGGGGGAAGCCTGGCGAGCATCCCCTCGAGGCTGTCCAACCTGGTCCCGAGGATGGTGATCTTCCGGCGGATGGCGGAGGTGTGGCGCATGACCTCCGGCCCGGACTGCGGGAGCGCCGCCCGGTCGGCGACCATGGCGGCGACGTCGTCCGCCAGGCGCGCCGCCTCGCCGTACTCCCGCACCCACGGATCCGCGGACGACGCCATCGCCGGCAGGGAGATGGACCCTATCGGTTCCTCGGGGGGCCGAGCAGGGGATCGATGGGCCGGCCGGCGAGACTGCCTGCTCCGATTCGGCCGCGTCGCGTCGCCGGCTGCTTGCTCGATTTGCTCCGCGGCGGCGACGCTTTCTTTCGTCCTCTTCCCCGCTTTTGGCCTTTGGCGTGTGATTTGTGGTTGGTGGTTTCTTCGCCGTGCCTTTGACGGGGCGTAGCTGCGGGGAAGAAGGGATTAGACGCAGGATAACATGATTAGTACTCTATAGTTTAATTTTCATTTTTTTTTATTCCTGTGGATGAGGTACTCCGATCTACTCCCTCCGTTTCTAAAACATAACACCTTTCAAAGATTTCGACATGAACTACATATGGATGTGTAAAGACATATTTTAAAGTGTGAATTCACTCATTTTATTCTGTATTTAGCTTGTATTGAAATCTCGAAAACACATTGTATTTAGCAACAGAGGGAGTGTGTAGCAAATGCCATGATCCCTCTCTCTTTCTTGCCGGGCAAAAGTTGATCATGGGGAGAGGGTAACCCTCTAGGGCAACTCTAACCGATTCCTAAAAATAAAGAAGGATTCGGCGGAGTAAACATGTGACAGCCTGGATTTTGCCTTTTTTTTTCGGACTTGATTTGCCCTTACCTTGGATTTGAGTTTTTTTAGAATCAATTCAAATGGACTTATCACTTGAGCATGCCCTTGACTTTCACCCAAGTGACCCATCTACCTCTCATTCAATCACATTTCTTCTGAAACTCATCTCAGAAACTAGTGCTCCAAAGCAACCCTCATTTTTATTGCTCCAAAAATCTTGAGATAATTCCTGAATATTCTTTGAACCTTGGACCCCCCCATCCCCGAGCAAAAATATTGCATGACTTTTTTAATATTTTGCTACAGAAAATCATTTCTCTTCTGGCCCAAAAATGCACTTTGTTTAGCAAGTGTATTTTTCCTTGATCCAATGGAGCTGGTTTTTCTTGAGCCTCATTACCCTCCTAAGTAAACCTTAACCCTAGGAGATCAAGCCTAATGGCCTTCTAGAAGCCCTCCAAACTTGGCGACTAAGTTTCTGACCAGAAACTTGACAGCAAGCTTGAGTCACATCTGGTTGGCCTGACAGTGAGTTCTCAACCTCCCTAGACCTAACACTGCACGAACTACAACCCAGACAAGGTTTGGCCGAGCGTGGGCGTCGTTTTGACCATGCCAGCGTGGTGACCGAGTGTGAACACGGGCTCTGGCATGCGTTCGACGCGCTCTGCGTCGCGCTAGTGCTTCTGTTCGGCGCGTGCTCGAGCCAGAGCTCGCCGACGACTGTCGCATCGCGCCACAAGCCTCGACTTTTCACCCTTGACCTCTCCCTGGCGCTCGCCGACGCTGGAGACGCGCAGCGAGCACAGGCACATCGCGGCCAAAAGCCACAGTGCGCACGCGCCCCTGTCTTCTTCTTCCCCTGCTTCTTGTGCTCGTCTGCGAGCGTGGACAGCTCCCGCGTGATCGCTGAGCTCTTCCCCCCTCTCACTGGTGCCCTTCGTCGTTGCTCGCCGGATTCCAGAGAGCTCCGACAGCGCCACGTATCCCCCTCCTACTCCAGCTATATATAGAGTCCCTCCCTCCGCCCCGAAGCCTCACACCGCACCTCTCAACCACCACGACCACATAGCATAGCTGTAGCCCGGCCGGGCAGGCCTCTAGCCGCCGTCCACGACTAGAGCTCGCCAGCGATCCCCGCAGCCCATCCACCCTGCTCCAGAGCCCCTCGAGCTCAACCAACCCCTCAGGCGCATCATTGGAAGTCCACCAGTGTCGCCTGGAAGCACTACAGCCCCTGGAGTCGCCTCTCACCGTTGCTTTCTTCCTCTCCGGCAAGTCCCGACCGCCACCGCCGCTTGCGAGCTCGATTGCAAGCAGCTCCGGTCATCCCCCAGCGAGCCACGGGTACAGGCAGGTACGCCGTGACCCCCTCTCCATTTCTATCCCTCTGATTTCACCCAAGAACCATTCCTCGCCGGCGTGAGCTCCGACGGAGCACCGTCGTGCTATGTTTCCTCTCCTCCTCTCTCCTGACTGGTGGGGCCCGTTGTCAGCCTCTCCACTCGCACCCGAAGCGACATGAGTGGAGGCGTATCCTGCCTTTACGCCATCGACGTCACCCCCCCCAGGTTTTCTGTTTAATTCAAGTAAATTAAAAAAATTGACCAAAATTTTGACCAATGATAACTTTTAGTCTATAAGTCCAAATGAGTTGATTCTTTTTGTATTGTGTTTGTTTCACAGAGCTCTAGCAACACACCAAAGTGTGGAATTTTCCTTGCTGTCTAGAATTTCTGGTGATTTTTGGATTGGTTCTTGATATTTTCTTTTGTAGTTTTTAAATATTTTCAGAGGGAGAGACTTGTCTTGAAGATAACCCGGAGGAGTGTGAACCTTCTCTGCACTAAGGCAAGCCACACCAACATTTGGATGATGTCATTTAAATATCTATGATTTTCCTACTTAAATATGAGCTCTTTTTCATGCATTTAAAATTTGTTAAATAAATATGGTTTAATGCTAGTTACTTTGTCATGCTTGAAATGCTTGCTTAAGTTACTGGCTGAATGCATGGACTAGTTTGGTCAAGTAGAATAAAGTTTAACTTAATGATATTGCTATTATAAATAATGATAGTTCTTTTTGCTAAATGGGATTTTCATATAAATTATGAGTTAATCAAGATAATGCATGATAATAACTATTGAGGTAGAATCGGTAAAGTTTAATGATGAGTAAGTGCAAGAAAGTCATATTGATAAGGTTGATCAGTTCTTGTGAGTTGCATGCTTTGCATATCGAATAGTTGCATGATCATGGCATCGTATGACTTGGAGTAGTTTTTATTTTCAAGTTAAACCTGATAATAAAACTTGAATATAACGTTGATCAAGTCATGGTGCCACTGAATCAGGTTTTCCTCAGTGCGACCACATTTACCTTTATGGGGGGTCTTGATTCGTTCCTTTGTCGTGCCTCTCCCCGGTGCCTCCAATGAGGGAAGGTTATGGGCATGCGGTACCCTGGCCCGGTAAGCAGACATAACCTTATGTGCCCGTTTGTTTTTATGGTACCTTGTCCCTGTTTGGGATCGTTTTTGCCACGACGGTGGTCATTGATGCCTTTGGTAGGCACTGGGCCACCCATGACTTAGCCCTGAGAGGGATTTGGTCGGAGTGGCCGGAAGAGTGTCATGGCAAGGGGAGGGTTCTGTTAGAATGCCATTGGTCCACCCGAATGGGAGTGCGAGGCCATGGATTCTGTGGTGTGCGTAAAGTGCGCTACCTCTGCAGAATGTATTCAATCTATTGATAGTCGTGTCCTCGGTTATGGACACAACTCAGGAGTAGGTCACACCATGGATCAACATTTAAATTAATCTTGCACACTAAGTATTTATTGTTGGCACTGGCTTTGTGATGATTTGTGGGATCATGTGATGATCTTGAGTGATTTGCTTCAGTTGTGATCCGGGTATGATCACCGTTCGGTTACGAGGTAACCCATCTGGTAAGCGAGTCCGAGGGACTCGGTGCACATGTTGGTTTCACCGCATCGGTAGCATTACTTGCATTGCATTAACCTAAATAATTGTCATGATATTGTTTGTCATTGTGCTTATGTTTGCTGTGAGCTTGCAAGTACATTCAATGTACTGACCTGGCATGTCATGCCAGATTTCAGGCAAGTCATATCGAATCGGAGAGCTTCCCGCGTCTAGACCGTGTCCACGTCGGTGTCCCTGTGCCCTGGAGTTCCACTTTGTCGTCATTCTGCTGCCGCGTAGTTCATGTGATCGAGGCCCCTTCATGTTCATTAAATAATGTACAAACTGTTCAGCCGCACCATGTGTGCCGCTTGGCCTCTTACCTCGATGTAATATCAGTCTTATGTAATCTACTAGCATCAATAAAGCGGTTGTTCCTGTACCATGTTGTTGTGTGTTGTCACAAGACTTGATCTCTGGGCTGGCAATGCAAGGTAAACTGGTTGCTCTGAGCCGGGGTGCCACAACGCTTGGTATCAGAGCCGCGCTGATTGTAGGACACGCTAGACCGTTAGTGCGTTAGTGGAACGGTAGATAGTTTCGTCTGCGTGCTGGTAGTCATAGAAATTGAATGTTGCATTGCATGCATGTTTATCTGTTGTTATTACTAACCATCTGATGGTTGTGAGTGTAGATAGCCCCAGTTCTGATCTTGTACCATCCTGAGCTAGCTCCGTACACATCGCCGCACCTGCTTCGGAATGTGTGGCGACGACTCTACCCAGAGGGTGCTGATCCAGTGTATCAGGTATATCGGGAGCATCTGGTTGGTTCGTTGTATGAGTACTATGCTGAGGTCACTCTACACCACAGTTCCCCTTCCGGCGCTTACACTCGTTCTTCACTACAAGAAACCTGTTGATCCATGCCAGTTTTTTGGTGACATTCTGAAAATCCGTCACAGTCGATGATGGTTTTGTTTTATCCATCACAAAATCCGTCATCGATCAGCAGGATGCGAATATGCCCAGAAACCCAACGGAGCCCATATAGTCTTTTTTTCCTGGACACTGTAGATTTTCAATTTTAATGAAAAAATGAAATCAAGACTTGATCCCAAGACCTCTTGGGCTAAGATACTAGCGCATGACAACTATGCTACCTGCATGACTAATGGAGCACTTGGACGTTTCTTTCTAATAACACAACTAGAGTAAAAGTTTTAGTAAAAGAAAAGTGTGCCATGGATCAGATCATGCACCTCTCACCTAGTTGAATAGTTCAATACCAATTGATCAAGAAATCATGGTATGACAGATTGCGAACATGAATCTTTGCCCTCGTACAGAACAACTATATATGTAATATGTGACTCCAAAATTTAATTCATGTTTACTAAAAGAATATGAATAAAATTTGTTAATTCATCTATATGAGGATCACATGGTCTAACTTATT